GGGGCTGCTGTGGGCACTGCTGTGGGCGCTGCTGCGGCCCCGCCCGCGACCCGGAGAGCAGTGCGAGCCTGCGGAACACGCCGGTGAAAACACCCGTTCTTCCCTCTGCGGTGGTTTTTTTTGTGTGTGTGTGTTTTCTCCCCGGCATTGGGAAGCTTAAAGCACGGAGTCGCAGAGTGGGTCAGGTTGGAAAGGACCGCTCTGGGTCGTGTGGTCCAAGCTCCCTGCTCAAGGAGGGTCGTCCCAGAGCACGGGGCAAGGGGTTGCGAACGGATGGTTCTTGGATGTCTCCAGTGAGAGAGACTCTGCAGTCTGTTCCAGTGTCTCACCGCCCTCACAGTAAAGAAAATATCTAACCTGAATTTCCCGTTTTTCACTTTGTACCCACTGCTCCTTGTCCTGTCGGTACTGTTCCTGATGAACAGCCCGAGCTTCCTCAGCCTGGCTTCATACCGGAGGTGCTCCAGTCCTGTTATCAACTTCGTGGCCCTCCTCTGGACTTGCTCCAACAGTTCCATGTCCTTCCTATGCTGGGGACACCAGAACTGTTTGCAGTACTCCAGGTGGGGTCTCACAAGAGCACAGTAGAGGGGAAGAATCACCTCCTTCAACCTGCTGACCACAGAGATAGTTTATTGGCACAGCAGAGAGTAGGGGGAGGGAAAAATATTGCTGAAAGAAAGGAGAAAATGACGGTGGCAGCTCCTAAGCTGATCCGGTTGCTGCAAGACGTACCTGTTTAACTCCACTTTCATGCTGCCGTAAGTCTGTGTGTACGTTTCATGGTATATTAGAGGTAATGCCTGTGCCTGTGGCCCGCCGGGCTCCAGGGATACACATCTCAAGGATGACGGAGCACCACCTCCCTAAGATCTTTCTTTATGATGAACTTGCCACTGGCTGCCGCAAGAGAGGAGCCCCAAAGAGAAGATACAAGGACTCCCTGAAACAACATCTCAGCCTTGGCCATATTGATCATCATAACTGGTCTACTCTGGCCTCCAACCAGGAGGTCTGGAGACACACCATCCATAATGCTGCTGTTTCCTTTGAGAACGCACGCAGGATCACCCTTGAGGGGAAAAGACAACGCAGAAAGAACCGTGCCTTGCAGAATATACCACCTAAGGAGTCCTTCTGCTGTGCCTTTTGCAACCGGTCATGCCTGTCTCGTATTGGCCTTTTTAGCCACCAACGTGCTTGCAACAAACGTGGGTAGAGCCCTTCCCAAATCTTCATTCGCAAAGCCCAGCCACGATGAGAGGTAATGCCACCCAGGCCTATGTTATAGTCCCATTCAAACACCTTTCAGAAAGAAAGGTTTCCCACGTGATTTTAACGGTGTGAGACAGACCACATGCTGAGTTACACTTCTTCCGTCACCCGTCAGCGTCATTTGCTAGGGGAAAAAAGCACAAGCAAACTCCTGAAGTATGACAGAATGCTCCCTTCACCTCACTTAGTCAATTAAAACACATGCCTAGTTTCTCCTATGTAAACACAATCTGGCATGGCAGGAGGCTAGACTTGCCTGAATTTTGTCTCCTAGGAGAAACACAGCAAGGTCATTTATTTTAAATAATCTCCGGCTGCCACAGGAAAACTAAAGAATTAAAAATAACAGCAGTAAGCAGGCCTATAGCTCACAATAGGAGACCATAAAAACGAAATACCATCATGAAGTGCCTGCCATGCTCTCACAGAAACTTGCTGACTTTGTCCCATAAGTTCCTCTAATGCACACTCCCATGTGCATTTTCATCACTCTTTTCTCCTTACGTGTAAACAAAAAGAGAATATCGCACTGCTTCCCTTTAACTGTGAACAGTGAATTTTGGACGACAGTCTAGCCACTTCCTCTTTTGCTTTTCCACTGCCTCTAAACCCTTGGGGGGATTTCTGATGACTTAATGGCACAAACACAAATAGAACATTGTGATTTAAAATGAAAAGCAAATCCGGTTACTTGCTTGTCTTTAAATTGCAGAATAGGGATTAAGGCCTTTGAAATATAAGCAGAATTACAATTTTTCAAATGGCCCAAGAAAATTGTTACCTGTGTTCCATCAGAACGAGTAAGTGAATGTTATTTGCCTTAGATGCAAAGGAAAATACAGTGAGTTGTTAGATCTGTTTTGATGATTAATTCAAAACTTTCTGTGTTACCTGTAATTCAGATGCACCATGAAGTCCTTTTGCACTGAGAAAGCTATTATTATTTTCCTTCTTTCTTACCCTGCAAAACAAGTCAAGATACTACCTTTTCTAAAGGCAGGTGTTACTGCTTAAAGACCAGTACAGAACATAAGAGTACTGTACCCTTTGCAATTCATCCATAGAGGTTTGTTGATGTGTCACACTGAGAAGACTTTACTACAGAAACATTAAATGAATAAACCCTTGTGGAAATATGAAGTGGCTGTCAGACTACAAAAGAGTTTCAGGGTCGTTCTGTTTCTCTCCATTCTTTGAAAGAGGATGACATATAATTCCAATTTCTGTATGTACTGAGATCTGTTTTAGACGTAGTTTTAAAAGACATTTTTGAGCATTTATGAAAATATGGGTTTACAGTTCTGCACTTCGAACATTAGGAAATCATTGTAAGACTAGTGGGATTTTTACTGACTCTCTCAGAATGTTGTCCATTTAAGAAATTAAGAAATCATAGAATCATAGAAACAACTGAGTTGGAAAAGACCCCTGAGATCATCAAGTCTAACCCTTGATCCAACATAATAAATAATAAATAATTAGTAGAGCAGATGTTTCCAGAGCAGAAAATTTAAATGCAACTCCTTACAGTCTGTAAGTATGCAGACAAGAAAGGCATTGCACGACTGACATCTGGACATGAATCATATCTCAGGAAATCTCTCTATCTAGGACCTCATTGCACAAGAGCCCACAGTCAATGGCAAGTAGAATGTGAGAGCACTTAGTGACTAAGATCTGGTTCAGGTCCCATTGAAATCAATTAAGATGTTCCCTCAGCCTGCTGATGGCTAGGGACTTTCATGCTGTAGACAGAAGTTAGGAAAACCCCTTAGCTTTTCAGATATGAAAACCTAGTATTTTATAACTACTCCTATACCTGAGAGATGGTCACTACTTCATCGGATTGCTACTCCTTTGCAAGGTACAGGAGCCAGAAAGAACTGCTTTGAGAGGCACATAAATCTAACAGCATTTCTCTGCTCCACATCACTTCACATCAATCTGGAAGCTCCCTCAAAGCAGATTTGTAGAGATCACTGCACATACAGTGACTTGGGCACATAAAGCTACAGTTAACAGTTCTACTAAATGGGTTTATGAAGACTGAAGCCCATGAAGAAAACATGCTTGCACTTCACTGTCCTTCAGCTCAAGCCCATCTGCACTGCAGACTCATGCTGCAGCTGTTCACCTTGTTTTGATGGAGCTGGAATTAAAGCTAAGGCAGGGTCTATAACTCATATTGACATCAGCGGCTTAAATAAGCCAGCTGCCCACTCTGCCTACCTTGGAAGAGCAAAGAGCAAGTCACCTGTACAGACAATCAAACTGGAGCCATGTGCTTATTGTTACAACACCCAAGAGAAGCCAGCCCTTTAAATCTACATAGTTCTTATCCCCAGAAGGAAGGTAGTTGTTTCCCGAGAGAAGCTCCTTGAGTGCACTGAGTCACCAGCTAGGCAAAAGGGCTTGAAGCATCTCTGTGAAGCAAGCCCCAGTGCTTTCAATTTATCATGCTGATTTGCTGCCATGAGAGTTTAATTAGATGGAGTAATGAGGAGACGATGGGAGTAGCGTCCAAAATGTTAAACATAAACATTCAGAGAGGTGTGGCTGCTTTCCAAAGAACATCCAGTAGTAGATAAAATAAGAAACGTACCTACAACTAATAAATATGTGATGCTGTGGTGCTACTTCTTGCTGCTGTTACAGCTGTCTCTCTAATCATCACAGTGTGCATGCTATTCAAGCAGAATCTGGGTAAGCAAAGGATAGAGATTGTTCCATGCCTAAGGGAAGCATGGAGCTGCACAAAGATCAACAGAGCAGAGGGACAGACTGTCAGAGGAGAACAGTAGGAAGTAATATAACAAGAGTAGCATAAAGAGGGAGGTTTGCAAATATGGGGTGAAGATACTTGAAATAATATTGTTGCCTAAAAAACTGCAGAGAAAAAAGACTCCAGGCCAATTTAGTATATACGATAAGATAACGAGAGCAGGTCCTTTAATCTCAGGCCTAAGGCCCAGGGAATATGTGCCATGCACACTCCTCGAGACAGTGGTTCTGTGATTTTAAAATAAGGTCCATCCAACCCCAGATTTGTCCACCCCCGTTCTGCCCCATTCTGCCTCCTGACATGCCCTGTCAGGAATCTGGGGGAGTTTGGGACCCCTTCTTCCTCATCTTCATCTTCTTCACAGCACATACAGTTGTTGGAGTTCCTCCAAAGTTCTGGGCTTGAAGGTTGCTGTGTCTATATGATATCTTCTGGTCCAGACCTTAAGGTGTTTTTCTACAATTCTACCTTGAAAAGAAGACTAAACACGCTAATGGAATTTTAGAGGGATTGATATGAAATGGGATAATAGGGTTGGGTATCTATAAACCTTATGCTACAGGGTAAGCTACATTAAAATCTACATTCACTACACATCTGCTTCTAAAATCTATAAAAGTTTAAAAATCAAAAAAAAGCTCTGAGGCATCAACGTGAATTACAGGGTAAGCAATATCACGAAGGTAAAGTCTTGGGAACCTTTAGAATGGACAGAGTGGGGCTAAAGAACCCAGGGAACAGAATGCAGTATAGAAGTTTTTTATAAGGAATTAGCCATTAATGGTGACAGGTGCATCACAGATTTGCTTTGGCTGGTTAGTCCAACCTGCTTGTTCAAGCTGAGTCAGAAAACACAGGAATCCCAGTACTGTCTCCAGTCTGGTTTCGAGCGCCCTCACAGCAAAAAAATAAATTAATGTTTTCTTGTGCTTAGATTAATTTTTTATTCTTTTTTAAATTTCTGTCCACTGGCTGCTGTCCTATCACTGGGCACTACTGAAAAGAGCCTGTCTTTCTCTTCTTCATTTTCTCCCATCAGGTTTTTATACATATCAGAGCGTCGGGGCGACAGGCAGGAAGTCCCACAAACAAAAGGCTCTGATGTGTGGGGTTGGCCAGTTTTAAAAAGAACCCTCTCCCACTCCCGTGCCCCTCTACATGCGACCCTGCTCCTCCCCACCTTCCCAGGCTCCCCCCGCCCCAGAAAAAAGAGCAGGGTGAGGGTGTACCCTACCCAGTGCACACTACCCAGTAATTGATACTGGGAATAAAAAAAATTCCAACATCTCTTTTCAAACCTATAACAGGAAGTCAAGTGAAGAAGTCTTTGGTACAAGTGAAAAGCCAATCTTTATTGAGAGGGATTTTTTGTTTTACCTTTCCAATTTAATTGAAACTTTCAGAAGAATTTTAAAAGGTAGTTCGACTACATGGAAAACTGGATAGTCAAGAACTTCTGAAGGATCTGCGAGAATTTTCCCATTTCCCTCCTCTCTGGTGTAGTCAGAAAGTATTTGGACTGAGAGAATATTCCTAAAGTCATTTTTCATCTGCATAAACAATGCCTTCATACAGGACAGACCTCCTTGTGGTCTCCAACTGAGCACATCAGATGCAACTAATTTATAGTGCAGGAATCTGGTAATATCACAACCATGTTCATTAATTTATTCTCTTCTTTTTCTGCAAGTTGATATC